CGCCCCAGAATTTCTCCTGTTTTCGACAAAGATGCATTCACCTAGGAACCAGAGAAGACGGACGTCAAAGTTATCACAGAATCTACTGACAACTAAACTAAAAAAGAAACATTTTTGAATATAGAGTTCTACTTTTATGACAAGGAAAATTTCATTAGAACATCATCATTAGCTTGGTTGCTAGGAGACAAAATAGGCTCACTCCACTTAACGGAGATCCTGTTCAAATCAGAGGGGTGAAGGCTTTATTTAGGTAGTACAGATATGGACTTTGGACCCTTTACCCATTTTGGGAAAAAAAAGAGCAGAGTGAAATGTCTAAAGCCAGAAGCCTTAATGAAATCATCTGAACATATATCTCACCTAAGAAAATACAACCTGCACACCATAGCTCTGTGTTTCTAAATGACATGCATCGTGGTAACATGGCAGAAATCTTTTCCTCAAGGAATGTCTTATCTGTAACCTTGAACTTAACTGTCACCACAGTTCCAGGAAAGAAAAAGTCAAGTCCTTCTGGTCAAATAACAGACTGGAGGAAGGAGGGAGGAACGTCTCCCTCTCTGTTTGGGAGTACCAAGAGGAACTCTCTACTCATCCCCCCTTAGGCTTTGCTTTTAATTCCTAATATGGCCAGCCAGGTCGGGGCAGAACTTTTCTGCTAAAAAGCAGGAAAGATGTGAAAATCTTTTCTGTTTGTCAATTTCCTTCTCAACTAACCATGGATATGCAAACTATTAATTAGGGTTACTTGCCTTTCTCTTCACATTTCTGGGCAGACAAAATAATTAAATTTAAAATTCACAGGAAAAATGTCTTAAAAATCAAGACTTTAGTAAAAAGATTCGAAACGGAAAAAAAAAAGAATAGAAATGCTGGCACTCGAGCAGGAGAACTTATTATAACATGTCACTTAATACATGAGTAATTCCTTCTGGGATCTTAAGAGAAGTGGCTAAGCTCATCTGATTTTAGCAAAAATAATTATCACACTTGTTTTCTCCAGACCTACTCTTTAATCAGTTATATTGATGATATCTTTTGGAAATGTGTTTCATGTCGTATGTAAACACAGAGGTCAAAATCTCTAGTGTTCTGATTAATTTTTCCAGTGGGTCGTTAGAGGCAGGGTTCTAAGGCCTTTATCTTCGAATACCCTCTAACCAGGCCTGCTTTCTCACAATAGCAGCACGGTCAACGCGGAATGGGCAGTCAGCACAAGTCCGACGTCTCAGCCCACCATTCAGAGGAGCTCAACAGGACGAGCCTCTAACTTCACAGCGAAGTCTGACTTAAGTAGGAGAAAAGGCGAAGAAAGTTCTGACAAGGCATCATCTCGACGGAAACAGAACTCATAAAGGCAGGAATTTGAGAAGCAAAGCAAATTACTTTCACAGGTACTCTCTGGGTGAGCAACAGCAGTGTGTTACGACCATGAGGCTCAGCAAAGGTGTGTGATTTGGGATCAGGCTGCTATCTTCTGTGACCTCTGTACAGTGTAGTCAATTTGTGTGATTTATGACAGCCTTGCTTTCTAGACGATGAATGACAACTATGGAGGGGCACTCAAATGCTGAGTGTCAGAAATGTAAAAATAACTTGGCCAGGGAAACCTTGAAAGCAAAGACAAGTTATAAGCTTTTTTCTTTTTCTGCTTAGAGAGAATTTTGATCAAAATTTAAAATAGGCCTCGCCAAATGTGTGCTTTGTGTTTTGTTTTTTTTTTAATTTTATTTATTTATTTGAGAGAGAGAGACACAGCGAGAGAGGGAACACAAGCAGGGTGAGTGGGAGAGGGAGAAGCAGACCTCCCACTGAGCAGGGAGCCCGATGTGGGGCTCAATCCCGGGACCCTGGGATCATGACCTGAGCCAAAGGCAGATGCTTAAGGAATGAGCCACCCAGGCGCCCCTGTGCTTTGTGTTCTATATGTGGAACCAGCTGGGGCCTGGGACTCACTGTCAGGGTCCGAAGTGGGAGCCGGTAAGGGGTGTGGATGGGGGACGGAGGTGGGTATGAACTCAGATCCATAAGTGGTTTCTCAAGTTAGCAGATTCCAATGTTTGATACAAACTAACATGGTCACTAGGTCTATACAATAAACTAGATTCTAGTTTGTTACTAACTAGAATCTCACTAGTCTAAATATTGTGCATTACCATGACTTTAAAGAATCGCAAAACACTGTCTCAAGAAATAGCCCCACGGGACAGCTTATTTATGAAAGAAAGGAAAACATTTTCATTGCCCTATCCCTCCATCTCCACCTCCGTCATTTCCCTGTGTACAGAGGAACTAGGGACCATGGTTGAACGGGGTTGTGTGTTTGGGAATGGAATGCCAGTGTCTGAAGAGCCTAATGCAGAAAGAGCTGGAGTACTGTCTTTCAACAGCACGGCCCCCCTAAGGACCATGGGACACCCATTTTGCACACCCTTCACCTGTGCGAAACACTGAAGAGGTTCTCTCCAAAGTAGGTCACAGAGGGCTTCACTAAATGGTCAGAAAGTGAAATGTGAAACTCCTCTCGGCAATTTTAGCCCCCAAGCAAAGGGAAGGAGATGAAAGGAGAGGAGAGGAAATAAAACCTGAGGACCCTTGCTGATCTTGACACACGTTCTAATCACTTTGCTTAAGTGGCTGACAGAACCCTCTATCAGCTTAACACACTTTCCCGCTAGCAGAACTACCTCTCCTAAGCACTGGAGTAGAAAATAACAGTTTTGGAGAACAAAGTATGCAACGGTCAAGGTCAAGGCTGCAAGATTCCTCAGATGGGAATGATGTGAAAACAAATAAGCTGTGATTTCTAACCACAGAATGGGCTGTTGCAGCCTCCTGTGCCTGCCTGTGACATACAGAGTGCAGGGCTCTCAAGCCGCCTGGGATGTGAAACATTTATGAAGAACCTCAAAAGCAAGCCTTTATCCACTGAGAATCTACTGCACTGTTCTAGATACTTGGGATCATGGAGGAACAACCAAGATTCCTGCCATCATGGAGCCTACAATCTGGCAGAGGGAAGAGATGATAAACATCCACATGGGAAGTAAATTCTATAGCAGGTTAGATAATAAATGGTTTGCAAAAGCAGAGGGGCAGGTCACCATGTGAAACAGGGTGAGCAGAGCCAGCCTCCATGAGAAGATGTGAGCAGAGGGGAGAGTAGGTCGCCCAAGGGATGTGCGAGGAAGAGCCAGCCAAGCGGAGGGAAGGAAGCAGAGCCCTGAGGTGGGAGGGGAAAGGACACGCCTTCTCTCTCCTTAAAAGAAAGTTGTGATTGGACTCTCTCTCGAATCTTGACTTCATTTGTCATCGCTACTTCCCAGCACAAAATAGGGATGCAGTTCATGTTTACTGAATGACTTCGAAGCCAGTAAATACAACAATGGACCAATGAACAAATTCAATTCCATCGACAGACTGGACTTCCTAAGAGACTACATGCAAAATGTAGCAGTGGAAGGTTTAGCAGATTTTCAAATGAGTTTCAAAAGCTCAACTTTACAGCTTTATTTCCAGGAACATTCCAGGAAAAGTGGAGGCTCCAAGAGCAGGAGACAAGAACCACATATTAGCAGGCAGGCAGGCATGAGCATCCTCTGTCTAACCCCTGTCCATTACAGGGGGAGTGCCAACTCTCCCTAGGACACTATCTCAACAGGAGACCTACATGTGATCTCAGGCCTCGAGGGTAACCTTCTAAGTAAAATAAAGAAAGTCAAACACAAAACACAGGCTAAATCAAGTGGAGGGAGTAAAAAGAAAAAAGTGCTAAGGAATTCAATTACAGTAAGAAAAGAACTATCCTCTCTTGCTGCCCCACAATTTGTCACTGCAAAGTCTTCCAAACCAGAATCCCATAGTTCCAACATACATGTTTGTCCTTACAACTACTTTCCCTTTCAATGTGACAGGCAACTAGTAGGAGCTACTGAATTCCCATTTCAGACAAATCCTATATAAATGAGAAGAGAAGACTAACATTTCTGGAAAATCTAATGTTTAGTACTACACTCCCCTCACAACCTCCCCATACTGCCTCTTCAACCTTTCAGTAACTCTTAATTTCTCATGGTATTTGGGCCCACTCTTTCTAATACCCGAATGCACATTATCATGGGTTTCTTTCCTAAATTCTGCTAAAAATTTTCAATTACTCTACCTTTTCATGTGTTACAAAATCTCCATTGTCACCACATCACATGAGAAAGAAAGCATTGCAAAATAGTTTAGGACCTAGAAAGAGAAAATCATTTTGCTTATAATGAAAGTTACACCTAATAGCAGTTATCAAATGCAATTTTGCTTAGAAATTACTTTTACAAAATCTGGGTCACTAATTTGACAAGATGCCCCTTTTCCCACCTTTCAAATAATCTTCTCTAATCCAACACAGATACTTGGAGGATTCTGTCATCTTTTATATTCTGGGACAAATTAAATAGTTTTTCCTTTTGAATCAGCCTACTTTAAGTTTTTTTTTTTTTAACTTAAAAAATTAACAGCCATATTAAAAATAAGTAGTTTGGTGGGAAAAAAAAACATCAATAATGTATACACCTTCTATCTGCTCAATGAAATGCAATAGTTGACAAAACTGTATCTACATATGCAGTCAAGGTTTTCTGACTTACCTGCAAAGAAAAATTAACTTTTGCTTTTCAACTGTATAGTAAAAGACATTATTTGGACATTATTTATAAAGTACGGTATCATGTTCATCAAACAAGTATCTCTTTTGGGTGAGGCAGGGGAGGAAAAGGCACATCCCTTCAGGTATCTCTAGGCAGGAATGCTGACTTCTACAAAATGTTCCCTGTCATATTATGACTCAGTGCTAAAAGGCAGCTCTTTATCCTTGCATTCTGCTCCTTTATTCCCATGTTACCTCATTCCTATGTGCCAGAATAAGCCAACGTTAAAGAAGGCACAAGAGAAGAATCCCTCCCAGAAATACACAGTAATGCCACACGCCATTGGACTTAACATGCAACTGCTGTGGTAGGGTCCACCTGTTTTAAACCTACCTTTCCAAACCTTCCTCAGTCTGAGAAAAAAGAAACAATTATGAGAAGAAAAAAAAAAAAGCTTGAAATTTACTGAGGAAATGAGTATTTAACAAAGGCCATAAGGGCAAAGCTGAGCAAAGGGCTTGTCTCTGTGTGACACTGAACACAGAAAAACCTTAAATGACCAGCTGTGCACAAAGCTCGAGTGTGGACCATCTCCAATAATAAACAAGGAGCGGGTTTTGAATCAAGGTGGTTTCCATTTAAGAAAAGCATTCAGTAATTTTTTTTTTTCTTGTGACGGCCAAGCACACTAGAAGCAATAATGCTATGAATGACCCTGCCCGTGAAGGAAGAGAACTCCTCTCCATCTATTCTGAGTACGGGATTAGGCGTCAGCTTCAGCCACAGTGTTTCTGGAGAGGAAACCAAGAGGGAGATAACCAGGTTATAAAAACAATGCTTTCTTCTCTGCTTTCTGTGGTCACTTTATTCCTCTCGACATTTTTCCATATACATCAAATTAATGTTAAATATACTGACTTACCCTCTACTTTCCCCAAATGATTATTTAAATATATTAATACCAATTATAAGAGGAAGAGTGCAGTAGTGTTTAATTCCACGGCAACTGTAATAACAGGGTTTAAAGATGCTCATGAAACAGGTTCTCATACACCATCTCCTTCTTTTTCCATCTCTCTACCCCACAAACACAAATTTCTAGTCTTGCAATAATTGACCAAGCTTTTATATACCATACATAAATTCAGATAAAGTTGCCAAAATGAGTTCTTCTCCGAGGGCGATAGCCCAACACAACTCTCAGGCTTTTCCTAAAAAAAAAAAAAAAAAAAAAAGCCATGAAGCAATCACTCATGAATACTGACCTTGCTGTTGCTCACTGTCTGCTTCAGCTTTCGAAGAACCTGGTGCAACAGGAAGGGGTCGAGGTGGTCGGGGCTTTGGTGTGGGAGGCGAGATTTTTTTCCTTCCAATATATTCAACATAAGTTCCTGGAAAGTCCCCTCTTTCCCCCGTGGTTTCATTATAACCATTTAACCAGCCGATTTCTTCAGGCCTGGCTTCCTGTCCGTCACTGAATCCAAGAGCTACTAAGGACCCTTTATTCACAGTCAAGACATCACCCAAGTGCAAGTCAATATCTTCGTCTCGTTCCTTCTTGTAATCATACAGCGCTCGGTACTGATAGCCCTCGGCACTCATGTTGGTGAGTCTGTGACCATGCAACAGAGGAGTCTGGTGACACGCTGCAGTCTGATCTTACGTTTCTATGGAAAGCGAATTCAGAGAGTAAGTTAAGATTCCTAATATGTGTCCAGCAGAGGACAAAGGACAACTCTCCAAAGGTTTAAGAGGAGAGGTGACCGGATGTCCGGCTATCCATCTGTCCTCCATCAATGGTATGACTGAAGACAGGGTGCCACTTCCTCTGCGGCCCACAGTCCTCCCACTGGCTTCCTTTTCAGCAGCTCGTCAACACTTGGCCTCCAGGCTGATTCTCGCAGCGCGGCCCAATCCTTTCTGACACTCTTGTCACACTGTCCATCTGGCGTCTGATTAGACTGTGTCACTCCACACGCGAGCTTCACCTAGCAAAGGAAAAACAAGACTTATGAATGAACATCACACTTTGCCATCTGTGTGAATTTGAATTTCTATTTCCATTCAACAAGTATTTAATCAATTTGGCATACACACACAGGCCAGCGTGCTACTGCTCCACATGATATATACAACAAAGATTAGTAAGACAATCCGCCTTCCAAGAACACTAGGCAGGGCTGGGAGGTGCGCCGGTATGTGGCAATGTCTCTCAGATAAGAACAGTACACAAGGAACCATAACACTAGGTAAATAGCGGAAGACAGGCAGAGACTAAAGGCTGTGGGTTCCAATGAGGGAGAGACCACGTCTAACTGCAGGGATCTGAAGACAGAAAGGAATGTGTGGCATGATCTCAGGTACAGATGTGACTAAGCAAATGCCGTATTCTGGGAAGAGCTAGAACAGGCAGTCCAAAGCATCGGAAGCCTAAGAGGGAGCACTGGAACTGGATTAGAAAGACAGGGAGGGGTTATAGGACACGATGCATGCCTGCACTGAGCTTGGGAGTACTATGGTCTAATTTCGGGAGCCACCAAAAACGCATGGAGGAAGGGGAGAAAAACATGAGAGATGCACTTGAAGAATCTCGGTCTAACTACGGTGAATGGGACAGACGGGAATAGGGATGGACAGGTGAGGATGAAAGCTGTACTACAGTGGTGTGGGTGAAAGGCCCTGAGGGCAGGAACCAAGGCGGCAGCAGAAGGTATGGAGGGGAGGAATGAAGCAACAGACACCGCAGAGAAAGCATGAGTGGATGTGGTGATGCTTGAATCAGAGTGAACACAGAACAGGAGCAGAAGGCCTACCCGGAGTTAACTCCAGTGGGCTTTAGGGGATGCTGGGCGTACAACTGCTAGTGTGGGGGCAGGGGCAAGCCTAGCCTGTGATTAAAGAGAGGGAACCCGCTACAGACTTGATCAGCTGCAAATAAGGCAAGGCTGAACTCAATAGAATGGAGGAACTCCCAAAGAAAAACTATCGAAGGTTAAAAAATCATCCAAGAATCAAACACTGGGGTTCACTGAATGCAACCTTAAAAGCAAAGTCCAAGTTTGGAGACACACTATATCTGGGAAACAATGGATAAGACGATTTGGGTGGGAAAAGGTGATCCCTAAGACCAAATCCTGCAGGGGCCTCCAGCAAGGGGAAAGTGAGGCAAGGCTAGGAGACTCGGGGCTCTGCCCATCACCGTATCATCACTGACATTTGAGAAAGCAGACTCCAGTCTGGAGACACTGAGGACAGTCGCTAGAATTGAAGGAGTTAAGGAACTGAAGAGGAAGTGGAAATGGTTGCTGGAAATTACCCTGGACAGATAGCCCTGGTGTAGGGGGAAACGAGTAGTGCAAGCTTTTGCTTTTTTTTCTTGTAACATAGTGGAGGCAGAGGAATTAAAGACTCTCTAGAGAGAAAGTCAGCACGTGCCCTGCCAACAGCACAGGGCGTTCATGTACACACTTTGCACTCTGGTCATTTCTGAGCACTATCTTCATTATAAAGAGTAAAAGCAACTTAAAGGTTTCAGTTAAGCTGGCCGAGTAGCAAAGCAATAAACGAGAGCCACACAACATCAGTGTGCTATATCAAAGAGAGCTCCGTGTGTTTTAACGAGGGGGCCACTTGAGAAGTTTAGTATTATAGGAACTCGTCCGTATATGCATCTTAATATGCAGAATCTAATCAACAGCCCGTGATGTTGGCATGCAGAAGCGTCAAGTATTCAACTTCACGTGGTTAGAGCCTCTTAATGGTAGTACAATAACACTCTTAGAGTTAATATTAAAAGAAGCAAAAACAAACACTGGAAACCTTTGAGTAGTCAGAATACTAATTTGAGATAGTATTCTAACTTTGTATTTCAGTCATCAGATAAAAAAGAAAACTAAAGCAACCAGCAGGGTGTATTAGAAAAATAAACTGTATTATGTTTGAAGACAACCTCTCCTTTTGATGGATCCAGAATCAGATTAAATATTCACTGCAGAAATTTGCACAAAAATGTAGGACTAGCAAACCTCATTTTTAGTTATAATGTACTCTGTACAAATGAGACACAGAACTCTAAAGAACATGAAAATTCACATATCCCTAAATGCCTGGAAACCAGGCAACATGCCTAAGAATAATTTAATTCCTCCAAATCTGCCTTGAAATTTTTGTTAGCTTTTCCTGGCAATGTAGGTCTTTTTGGGGAAAAAAAAAAAATCCTCAACTAGTACGTTGGATAGATCTTTCCACCAGCTGCTGCCTATGGCTTGTTCTATTTCAACAATCCAGTGGGCCAGTTTGGTGAGATTCTTATCAGAATGGGGAATATTGTATCTACCCACTCGTTCCGCCCTCTCCCCCTCCCTCCCTGTCTGTCTGTCTCTCTCCATCACTCTCTCCCCTACACAGCCCTCAGCCACCACCAGGCCCCTGATTACAGCACACCCATGCAGATATGCATGTTCCTAAACAGGGGACACCATACTAAGAGGCCCCATGTCTGGTCAGGGTTTTACCAACCTGAAAACTGTGCTTATGTTACCTGAGGCTAAATCTGTGCAAAGAGAAAAAGAACCCTGAGGAACCTGATGACTGAGAGTAGCAATCCCCAACCCAGACGCCAAAGACTTATTAGATTTCTCTACTAATTCCCGTCCCTCGCTGTTTTTAAAAGGAGAACCTTAACTTTTTTAAAAGGAGAAGAGGGGCGCCTGGGTGGCTCAGTCGTTAAGTGTCTGCCTTCGGCTCAGGTCATGATCCCAGGGTCCTGGGATCGAGCCCCGCATCGGGCTCCCT